AAAAAAAAAAAAAAAGCAAGTGTTGCTCTCCCCTGCATAACCACTCTATTTCAATTATCAAAACCTGTGGCACTGAAAAATAGGCCCTGTGCCCCTCGGTCTAGTGTTCCTAGCAGGATGGAGGCCTGGGGGAAGAGGGCTGGATAAATGTGCCAGGCCCTGACTTCTCCTTAGTAAGTCAGGTAGTACTTCGGCGATTGCTGCTTCTTGGTGAGGGATTTAAGGCCATGCACGTCTTCGTTATGTCCATATTTTCAGATGTACAGGTCTATCTTTACCAAGCTGAATGATTATATTGCTCTCTATAGTTTGAAGAGTTTTCACAAAAACTCAAAAGAAAATTTGAGTTGATTTATCCGTTACTATTGTGCCACCTCGCTGTGGGGAGTGAGGAGTGCCGTTAGATTATCCTCGCTTTTACAAAGTAAATGTTAACTGAGCGTAATTAACAAATGCAAGGCTAGAAGCTACCTACAAGGAAACCAAGCCAAGAGAGATCTTTACAAGAAAGCCACAATAAACAAAGCAAGCAATTATAAAAAAAAAAAAAAAAAAAAAAAAATCCCTTCAACTTTTTTTTTTCTTTTCTAGGTTCTAGAAGTGGAATGATTAGACTGTCATATCAAGTGAAAATGCCAGAAGAGCAAATATTAAATCCAAAATGGAAAGTTTTCTTTTACTCTGCAAGCCAACTTTAGACAGCGGTTGGCTTTTGTATACTTTTAGCTTGAGAGCTGTTACAAGGCAGGAGAATGATGCAAAAGCCTTCTCACCGAGACTCGGACCCTTTCCAGTCTGACCAGGACACCAAGAGAAAATGGAGACTGCTTGGTAGGTGGAGATAAATGAATGCCTCCCTCTTGGATGGGCAAAAGAGAGTGAGACAAGCAACGCTTCCTTTAGCAGACACCAGGCTGGCAGGAGGAGCTGTGACTCCTGGTGGAAGACAAGTGGCACATGTTCCGAAAAAAATGGCCAGGGGCTACATTTCTGGCTCCCTCCAGGAACAGGTTCTGGTGAAGAGAAGGTTAGAATTCAGAGAAGAATGGCAAGGCGTCACCAGTGAGAAACAGACATGCAAAGCGATTGCAGATGGCCATGGATTGGGCTGGCTGGTCCCACCAGTCACATGTTTGACCCAGTCATCAGGACTCTGAGACTTCAAGCAGCAAAGCTAGGGATGGAAGCTTTGTCAGAGAAGCTCATCTCCTTGGAGATGTTCATGTAGTTTCAAAATTCCTTATCCTTATAGAGGACCATGGGGGAAGAGGACTGTTAGTGAAAATGTTGGGGGATGTCCGGAAGGGAGGGGCCCTTCAGCCTCTCTCAGACAGCATCCTTCCACCAGCTGGGGCTAAGGTATCTATGTACATTAACAAATGCATTTTAGACCTTCTCATAGAACAGCCGTGGGCAGGGGCTATTGTAGAACAAAGGGACTGCACCTTCTTACCTTCGTGGATGAGATTCCAGCAAAGACCTGCTCTCAAAGGAAACACACTCTTGGACGTCAAATAGACCACTCAGGCACGGGGAAGCTATGGGTTTGGAGTCAGCTAAAGCATAACTGTAGTACATCTGTCACAGAGAATGCCACACATGGGAGCACTTTAGACTTAGAGCAAGAAAAGACATGTCTCTCAAGAGAAAGCCTTCCCAAATTAAAGCAGTGCATCAGCATTGTGAGACCCATTGAGCAGGTAAAGACAAAGCGGCTTCACAGCCTGCTAGGAATCACAGCCCTGATTAAAGGTCGTGCCACATTTCAGGTTCTGGTTCCTTCTGTTATTCTTCCTTTATTATCTATCTCCAAGAACTTGTCTAGCGTTATTCGTCGGTTTGCTCTCCCTTCCTTTCTCCCTTTCTTCCTCTCTCCCTCCCTCCCTCCTTTCCTTCCTTCTCCTCACTCTTTTTACTTCTCCCTCCCTCCTTTTTTCTTTCCGATGCACTGCACTTCCAATGTGGTATTACTGACTCAGGAGCAAAATGTTTGTTTCTGATAGAAACAAAATGCCTGCTGCGACGTCCGCAGCCTCGCCTGGTCCTCCTCAGGACGCAGCCCTGTCCAGCCCTTGCGTGAAGCCTGCCCTCAGGCACTGGCCCGTACCCAGCCCAAACCGGTGGCTGTGGCCTAATTATTAGCATTCTGCTCTAACTGACTGAGGCAACTAGCTGGGAAATGCTCTTCTTCATTTGCAAAGTGTAATCACTAATTAGGTAACTTGGAGAGTTTCTAGAGCAGTTATTTCAGGAAGGTTCTAAATCTAAAGCAAAGCAAAATGAAACAAAACAGCCTACAAAGAAGATATAATGATTTTATAGGTTAGTAAGAGCCAATGTAAAGCAAAAATACAAGCTCCACATTATTCTAAAATTTAGAAGTAGATACTACTAAGAAAAATACCAGAAAAAAGTAATATATTTTCTAAGCTAAATGTCTTATGAAGAATTTTATTTTCCTATATATCTGCACAGCACATAGATGTAGGATTTGTAGATCCCTAAGTTGGATATGAGAAAGATCTCCTAGTAGTAAGTAAGCAATTATTTGGGATAATTAAACATGGTTATCTTTTTTTTTTTTTAAATGTATTTAGTACAGGGTCCTCAGGGTCTCACTAAACAGCTTGGACTCCAGTGATCCTCCTGTTTTCAGCTTCCCAAACACTGGGATTACAGACACATGCCACCACGCCCAGTCTCAATCACTATCTCAGCACGCCCCCAGGGGCAGTGCCTGGTACATGTCAGGGATCAAACCCTGCTCCCTGAGCCTGCCTAAGCAGGCACTTTAATCCCCTGAGCTATCTGAATGGCCCCCTGGTTATCATTTTTAGAAAACAATAATTCCAACGCCTAGAGGAATAGACTAAAATGATTTTGAATCTATGAGTCAATGTTCAGTTTCTCAAACACCAAATTATTCCCATTAGTAATTAGTCTAGGAAGTTGTACTGTATGAAAGTAAGTCCCTCCTGCGTATTATAGCTCTAAGTGAGAGCTTAGGTTCGGAGAATGAATGGGGTTTCTATTATTCCCCAAAGACCAGGGACTCCATTTGTCTCATCCCACGTTTTTAAATTTTATTGAAAGACTACAGTGTGTTGAACTTTGTGCAGAACAAATATCAAGACCTCAGCTGGATAAAATAATTTTGTACTTGGAATGGAGCTCAGGACCTTGTGCTTGCCAGGCAGGCACTTGTACTACTAAACTATATCCCTGGCATGGCACTCAGCTGGGTAGAGTTGTTCAAAAGATACACACAATATTCAGAGAGAATAGCTGACTTAGTTGAGCATGATCAAGTATTTTTTTTTTTTTTTTTTTTTTTTTTTTTTTTTTTTTTTTGGTAAGGGTCTACAGGGTATCAGGGTCTCACTACGTAGATCGGACTCATAGTGATCCGCCTGTGTTCAGCGTCCCAAGAGCTGGGATTACAGGCGTGCGCCACCACGCCCAGTCTCAACTGCCATCTAGTGTGCACCAGGGACAGGGCCGGCATGGCACGCAGGGGATCATCTGCTTAGGCAGATGCTTTATCGGCTGAGCTATTTGGCAGGCCCTCAAGTCTTGAATTTGAAAACATGACAATCTTGTTGGTCTCTGTCTTTGCTGCTAAGGACCAGCTTGACACAGATCAGAGCCGGGAGTGATTAATATTAATAAACTGGCACAAAAATAGAGAGGCTGTGCTAGGCCCGCATGACTCCTGGAGATATCTGCAACTGGCTCACAGGCAGGTTCATCTTTAAGCCAACGGCCAGGACTGAGACTAGCAAATGGTC